TGATTTTGTACGTTTGCCCACTGACAAAGAGATGATCAGTCTATCATTTTAATGGTAGGTTTATTTGAACAGTGAGAGACAGAATAATAGCAAAAAAATCCAGAAAAACGCATGTCAAACATGTTATAAATTGATTTGCATTTTAACGAGGGAAATAAGTATTTGACCCCTCCGCAAAACATGACTTAGTACTTGGTGGCAAAACCCTTGTTGGCAATCACAGAGGTCAGACGTTTCTTGTAGTTGGCCACCAGGTTTGCACACATCTCAGGAGGGATTTTGTCCCACTCCTCTTCGCAGATCTTCTCCAAGTCATTAAGGTTTCGAGGCTGACGTTTGGCAACTCGAACCTTCAGCTCCCTCCACAGATTTTCTATGGGATTAAGGTCTGGAGACCGGCTACGCCACTCCAGGACCTTAATGTGCTTCTTCTTGAGCCACTCCTTTGTTGCTTTGGCCGTGTGTTTTGGGTTATTGTCATGCTGGAATACCCATCCACGACCCATTTTCAATGCCCTGGCTGAAGGCAGGAGGTTTTCACCCAAGATTTGACGGTACATGGCCCCGTCCATCATCCCATTGATGCGGTGAAGTTGTCCTGTCCCCTTAGCAGAAAAACACCCTCAAAGCATAATGTTTCCACCTCCATGTTTGACGGTGAGGATGGTGTTTTTTTTGGGTCATAGGCAGCATTCCTCCTCCTCCAAACACGGCGAGTTGAGTTGATGCCAAAGAGCTCCATTTTGGTCTCATCTGACCACAACACTTTCACCCAGTTGTCCTCTGAACCATTCAGATGTTAATTGGCAAACTTCAGGTGGGCATGTATATGTGCTATCTTGAGCAGGGGGACCTTGCGGGCGCTGCAGGATTTCAGTCCTTCACGGCGTAGTGTGTTACCAATTGTTTTCTTGGTGACTATGGTCCCATTTGCCTTGAGATCATTGACAAGATCTTCCCGTGTAGTTCTGGGCTGATTCCTCAACGTCCTCATGATCGTTGCAACTCCACGAGGTGAGATCTTGCATGGAGCCCCAGGCCGAGGTAGATTGACAGTTCTTTTGTGTTTCTTCCATTTGCGAATAATCACACCAAATGTTGTCACCTTCTCACCAAGCTGCTTGGCAATGGTCTTGTAGCCCATTCCAGCCTTGTGTAGGTCTACAATCTTGTCCCTGACATCCTTGGAGAGCTCTTTGGTCTTGGCCATGGTGGAGAGTTTGGAATCTGATTAATTGATTGCTTCTGTGGACAGGTGTCTTTTATACAGGTAACAAGCTGAGATTAGGAGCACTCCCTTTAAGAGTGTGCTCCTAATCTCAGCTCGTTACCTGTATAAAAGACACCTGGGAGCCAGAAATCTTTCTGATTGAGAGGGGGTCAAATACTTATTTCTCTCATTAAAATACAAATAAATGTATTACATTTTTGACATGCGTTTTTCTGGATTTTGTTGTTGTTATTCTGTCTCTCACTGTTCAAATAAACCTACCATTAAAATTATAGACGGATCATGTCTTTGTCAGTGGGCAAACGTACAAAATCAGCAGGGGATCAAATACTTTTTCCCTCACTGTACTTGGTCGAAATAGATGCTAAATAATGTGGGAGCCGGAGGATATCCCTGTCGCACCCCAAGGTGAACAGGGAACGGCTCCGACTCCTGGCCACGTAGTTTTACCCAGGCCCGCTCACCATCGTGAAGGTCCTTAATGATTGTGAGCAGAGCAACCTAGAGCCCAGGCCTACTGATGGTATTGTAATGCAAGTCCGTAATTATAATAAATATAGGTGGGGACACATCCCCCCCAATATTCAAATATGCTCAAAATGTCCCCCCCAATATATTGCTATAAAATATATTTCTGTTTATATGATTGTGGTTATGGTTGTACTTTATCAATCACTAATCTCTGCCATTACATACAATGAAACAAGAAAAGATACAAAAATAAAACAGAGCATTGTAATACAATAACACGATTAGACATTATTGTAAGAAATAAATAAAAAGTCCATCCTATGTGTTAGTGAATTTTTTTATATTTTAGGCAGGAAATCCGTTTTCAAATTTAGATGTTTTTTCTGGGGGGGGGGGGGGGGACCCCCAGACCCCCTGGAAGATTTGGTCCCCCCCAATGTTGACTCCATGGCTACGGCCTTGCTGTAATGTAATAGCGCTGGCTGTTGGACAGCAGCGGCAACTGTGGTGGACAGGCTGCGCACATGCCGGTGGGGGTGTGCACGGTGTGTTGGCAGGGCGGAGGAACTGGGGCAATGGTCACGGAGGACCCCATCTGGAGGCCCCTGGAACCTGCTAGCGGGTTCGAGAAGGGAGGCGCGGTCAGGGCGGAGCCAGGGCCGTGCTGGGAGCATAAAAGGAGGCGAGAGCGGGGGGCTCGAGGCTGCCGGTTCTGGGAGTGGACCCGTCTCGTCGTTGCTGTCGTCTCGTCGACGTCGCTCAACGTCTCCGCTAGACGCTGCGCTACGAAGGAGAGCAGTTGGCTACCTCAGTCGGCACCATCCGAGCTTGATGCTTAGGGTTGTGTACAGCCTAGGCCGGGCTACTGTGGAGTGTGTGGATGAGGCCGTGAAAGTGAATAAAGTGCCCCCTAGAAACTCTGTCTCTGAATCGTTGACACTACAGTATCATAGGCCTTGACCAGGTCAATAAAGCAGATGTGTTGGAATTCCCTACACCTCTGCCGTAGCAGATGGACAAAAAATATGGCATTTCGTGCAGGACCGCCCTGGTCTGAAACCGCATTGGGGCTCCGCAAGCCTCTCCTCAGCGTGCCTGGAAAGGCGATGTTGAATAATCCTTGCCAGGACCTTTCCCGGCGCACTGAGGAGTGAAATGCCCCTGTAGTTGTTACAGTCTGTGCGGTCCCCCTTCTTAAAGAGGGGGACTAGACACTCACGCCCACACAGAGAGAGCCGCTCCCTCACACACACACACAGATTGCTCACACACACACGCATTCACACAGAGCCACTCACTCACCCAGACTCACACTCTCACCCACACACACAGACTACTCACACAGACTCACACTCACCCACACACACTCACACAGACTACTCACACAGACTCACACTCACCCACACACACTCACACAGACTACTCACACAGACTCACACTCACCCACACACACTCACACACTCAACTCATAGATTCACACTCACCCACACATAGCCACTCACTCACACTCATCCAGACACTCACTCACTCTCACTAACACTCTCACTCACTCATCCACACCGAGAGATACACTATCACTCTCCCACGCACCCACCCACACATCCACTCTCACTCATCCACTCTCACTCACCCACTCATCCACTCACCCACTCATCCACTCTCACTCACCCACTCACACTCACCCACTCACACTCACCCACTCACACTCACCCACTCATCCACTCTCATTCATCCACTCATCCACTCTCACTCACCCAGTCACTCACCCACTCATCCACTCACACTCACCCACTCTCATTCATCCACTCATCCACTCTCATTCACCTTGTGTAGTACCCTCACGCACCACCAGGGGTCCACGCACCCCCCCCCCCCCCCGTAGTACCCTCACGCACCACCAAGGGTCCACGCACCCCCCTGTAGTACCTTCACAGACCACCAGGGGTCCACGCACCCCCCCCCCTGTAGTACCCTCACACACCACCAAGGGTCCACGCACCCCCCTGTAGTACCTTCACAGACCACCAGGGGTCCACGCACCCCCCTGTAGTACCCTCACACACCACCAGGGGTCCACGCACCCCCCCCCTGTAGTACCCTCACAGACCACCAGGGGTCCACGCACCCCCCCTGTAGTACCCTCACAGACCACCAGGGGTCCACGCACCCCCCCCTGTAGTACCCTCACACACCACCAAGGGTCCACGCACCCCCCTGTAGTACCTTCACAGACCACCAGGGGTCCACGCACCCCCCTGTAGTACCCTCACACACCACCAGGGGTCCACGCACCCCCCCCCCTGTAGTACCCTCACAGACCACCAGGGGTCCACGCACCCCCCCTGTAGTACCCTCACAGACCACCAGGGGTCCAGAGGTTGGGAGCCGCGGCTCTCAGCATCATTTCCCGCAGCAACTACAACTCAGCTCGCCTGCGGGGCCAGCACACTGTCGGCACTGCAAAGACAAAGATTCCTGTAACAGACTGTCGGGGCAGACGCTTCTTAAAGCTCCGGGAAGTTCCCTCTCCTCTCCTCTCTCTGGCTCCCTCTCACATTCTCTCTCTGATCACTTTCCAGCATCGCAATCTCCCTCGTCACTTTCCTTCGTATTTCCGCGATCGAACCCAACAGCACAAACAAAAAAAACTCCACCAAGGCCTACGTCTTTTTTTCCCGATGCAGTAGTCGTGCAAGAGTTCCAGACTGCAATTCGCGGACAGCCGAAATCGCCGATAGCCAAAATCGCCTACAGCCAAAATCGCCTACAGCCAAAATCGCCTACAGCCAAGTCGGTAAGGAACCACGGAGCACCATACGCCACAAACAAACGGCTCGCCTGCTAAGCCCTTACCCATCACGACTACGTACGCCCACGTCACCTGTTTCTCATTCGATTCCGCACCGACGAGACAACTTCATCGGCGACCCGTCTTCAGGTCATCGTCGCCGCCGACGTAACCGTGCCGGCTCGCGCGAGGGCCCACGCGGGGGGGGGAGGAGGCGTGCGGCACAGTTTTGGCGCCGGCTATCGTAGAGTGGCGGCGGTCGCATCACTACGGTTCTCTGCGGGCGAGCAACGACGTCTTGAAAAACAACGGCGCTGCTGCCGGCTACCACGTCTCTCTGAAATAAAACGAAACATCGAGCCGGCTTGCGCGCGTCCAGAGATGCGGCGGTGAACGGGACACCCCACACCCCTGCCACTCACCCACCCCTGCTACCCACTCCTGTCACCCCCCCCCCTCCCCCGTGTGACAATCGTCATCGTCTCACCAACGCCATCGGATGGAGCTGCCTTTGTGCTAAAAATATCGGAAGGTTTTATTCCAAACGAGTTTCATTTTACACGGCCTTCTCCTTACCTCAATTCTCCAGGCGAGAGAGCGAAGAGCTCCCAACGTTTAAGACTCAAGGTTTAAAAAAAAAGTGACTACATTCATCAACTCTGGCCAATTAACTTCGCGATTGTTATTGTCATTATTGTTTTATATATATGCATTCGTGTATATTCATAAATTAAGTGACGTTTACGCCGTTCCAGCAATTATACGCAGGATTAAACGATGGCAATTTTAAAAGTCTCAAAGGAGACTCCAACATCCTGAGACCCCTGTCTCTCCCTGTATCTCAAACAGGTCTCAGAGGCCGAGACCCCAGTATCAGAGTCTCAATCAAGACTCCTCTGATCGTGAAAGCCGGTCTCCCCGAGTCTCAATCAGGTTTTCAAAGCGTCTCTCCGCTCGTCACGTCTCCCGGGTGCCACACGACTCAAAGCGAGTTGCCACTGTGCCCCAGTATCCGGCTGATGTTGTGCGCCGGTCGGCTGCTCTGCTGGTGCTGCTGCTGCTGCTGTTTGACCGCTTCCGCCGCCGACACGGCCACACCCAGCAACGCGCCGCCGCCGCCGCCTTCCGCACCGAGCGCCGGCGAGGCCACCGGCACCACCACGGGGGCCGTGATCTCGGGGAAGAGCGCCGTCAGGTTGAAGTTGGAGAGGTGCGCCGCGTGCGCCAGGCCCCCCGGCCCCACCGTTGGCCCCACCGCCGTGCCGCCGCCGCCGCCAACTCGGCTCGGCACATCGGGCAGCAGCGAAAAACCCGGCTGCGTGAAGCCGACGGCGCGGGAAGGGGAGAGGACAGCGCCGAACGACGGCGGAGGCGCTGCCAGCTGCGGCTGAGGCTGCGCCGGTTGCGTCATTGCCGATTGCGAGCCGAGGCCGCAGCCGACGACCTTCTCGCCCGCCGCCGAGGCCCCGCCGATGTTACCGCCGCCGGCAGCGCCGGTGCCGAACAGCTGGTTAGGGAAGTAGGTGATGGGGATCTCCGCCGAGAGGCCGGGCCGCGACGCTGGGGAGTATGCGGGGAAGTACGGCGGCGCCACGTTCGCCGGGGCTCCCTCCACCGGGAGTAGCGAAGCCGCAGCGTGGTGGTGGTGGTGCGGGTGGTGAGGGTGGTGGTGCGGGTGGTGGTGCGGGTGATGGTGAGGGTGGTGGTGGTGAGGGTGATGGTGAGGATGGTGAGGGTGGTGGTGCACGCCGGCAGAGTCGGCCCGGCCCATGAACGGGTTCCCCACTCCCGGCGTCCCAGCGCCCGCCACGTCCGGGACGAACGGGAAACCGGCAAAGTTCTGCGCGGCGAACGCTCCGTGCTGGTGGTGGTGATGGTGGTGGTGGTGGCGGCCCGGCGACAGCACGCCCTCGGCGCCCAAGAACGCGCCGAGCGGCGGCGCCGACGATCCGGACAGCGACGACGACGAAGACGACGAAGACGACGAAGACGACGACGACGGGACGTGGGTCGCCGGGCCGTGCCGGGCGTGCGGCGCCACCGCCGCCACCGCCGAGCTCGGCCGGCAGAAAGCCTTGGCCTGCCGGCCACCGCCGCCGCCGCCGCCACTCGGTCTGCTGCCCGCTTTGCCGACCGCAACTTGAGCGTCTTGCGACTTCCCGCGCTGCTGCTGCTGCTGCTGCTGCTCGGAGCTCTGCCGCAGCGACTCCACGGTAGCAGCGGCGGCCGCGTCCCTTCTGCCGGAGGCGTCTCTCTGCGCCACCTCGAACAGGCCGTCTGTCTTGCAGGCGTACGCCTCCGACGACGGCGTCGCCGCCGTCGTCACCACAGCCTCGGCCCCGTCCGCGTGTCTCAGCGATGCAGGCCGAGCCGTCACGGTTGCGCTGCCACTGCCGTGCAGCTGGTACCCCCGCTGCTGTTGCTGCTGCTGCTGCTGCTGCTGATGCGAATGCTGTGGGACCGCCCGCTGTGTCGCCAGACACCCATCGGGCGCGAGCGTTGGGGCGTATAGGCGCTGGGCGTCGTGCACCGGCGGCGGGAAGCACGGCGGGTTGAGCTTGGCTCGCTGAGACGCCGATGCCGGCGGCACTGCCGGCATCGGCGGCGGCGGCTGGTGCTGGTGCGCGTCTCCGGCGATGAGTGCTTCGGCCGAGTAGCTGGAAGTGCGGCTGCGATCGGGACGTACGTTGGCAACGCCGCCCTGCTGCTGCTGCTGTTGCTGTTGCTGGTGCTGCTGCTGCTGCCTCTGCTGCTGCTGTTGCTGCTGCTGCTGCTGGAAGTGGCCTTCTTGTGTCTTCGCGCGCAAGCCGAACAATCCGCCGGCTGCCGTGGGATGCTGGTAAGGCGTCATGTTTGAGAAAGGGAGCTGCTGCTGCTGCTGCAGTTGTTGCTGCTGCTGCTGTTGCAACAGACCCCCGCCGCTCTGCTGCGTGCAGTCATCCGTTAGGGCTGAAGTGGCAGCCGAAGATGAGACCGTTCCAAACTGCTGCTGCAGTCGGTGATGTTGGTGATGGGGGTGATGATGATGGCTGCTGTGGTGCTGGTGATGCTGCTGCTGCTGCAGGCCGTGGTGGTGCTGAACGAGCTGCTGCTGCTGCTGCTGCTGCTGCTGTTGCTCGAACGCGAAGGCCGGCTGGTTGTCCCTCACGGCCAACAATGACGATTCAGAAGACGAAGAAGAAGACTTCTGCGACCCCTGGGAAACATCCGCAAGGCGTTGCAACGCCGTTAACGCAAATCGGCGACGGAGACGTACCACAACATCCTATTCATGTCGCCCACGACGACCGTCTTGACGAGCGACGGCGGCCGAGACCGCTGCCCCAACGCGCCCACAGATCAGGGCGGAGGCGATGCCGGCGCCGCGGTAAAACCCACGAGAGGGGGGCTGCTAACCCCTCCAACCAGGCACTTCTTTTACCAAGCACCGCCGTGGAAACACCAAAACAAACTCGTGCTAGGAGACCCCAGGGGGACAGGCGTCCTTGACGCCTTCTGGCCAGTCGGAACCCCCCCCCCCGCTGCGATTGGCCAACGTGGAATGCTCGGAGTCTCTTTGCGGAAGAGAGGCTGCCACTCCTGTGTCGGGAGGTGGACCGCTACCGCCTGGGACCTCTGTGGGACACAGGAGGTCCGGCAGGTCGGTTCTGGCTCCAGTCACCACGAGGGGTGGACAGTTCTCCCCTCGGGAAAGGAAACTGCCAAAACGAGTCCCGCTTTTGACACCACCGATTCATTCCATTTTGCTCGAGCGTTTTGGCGCCGGTTAACTTCCTACCTCTCCGAGCGTAAACAGTTTGTCAGCCCGGGAGGGAAACACTCAGACACGCGCCCCGTTCCTCTCGGTGTCCCCCAGGGTTCAGTCCTTGGGCCACTTTCGTTCTGCACGCACCTGACCACCCCCCCCCGGCTTGGCCATACCGTACGCCAACCTGGACTTTCTGCTTCCGTTGTCACGCCGACGCTCAAGCTTACGCGAACGTGGAATCCTCCCTCGACGCAGCAGTGTCACCTGGCGTGCCATCCTCCCTTGTGACCATTCAGGCTTCGGATGCAGTCTAACTTCCTTCAGTTGAGAGCTGATGAGACAAGATAGCTGCCGCTTGCTGGGTCCCGTCATCAATCGCCTGAAGGCTGGGCCCCCCCGGTCAGCGTGTTCACCGATGGCCACGGTGCTATCTCTCGATCGCTCACCAAACCATCGGAGCGCCACATTACTGAGCCCATTAGAGGCTGCCGTCTTTGACCTCAGAAACATTAGCCAGATTGTGCCCCGTTCTCCCGCCGTCGCGAGCTCAAGAAGCTGGCTCACGCGTCTGCCTTCCCACGCGCCGATATTTTTGCAACGCATTATGAGCTGGCGTCGGGCCCCCCCCTCTCCCCACCACGAGCTGTTAAACTGCCTCCAGAGTCCCTGCTTGGACACCCCTGTGCTTGAGTCTCTCCATCGGTCACCTGTCAGGTTCCGAGTGGTGTTCCAAGATCTCGAAGTATATTTGCATTTTGCGTGTCTCTCTCTCTCTCTCATATCATCAAGGTGGCTAGGAGATGTTAACTACCTCGCCTGGTATGCAGGAGGTCGTGAGTTCGATCCCGACCCTGACACCTGCTGTATATTTGGAGTTTACGCATCTCTCTCTCATCATCGTCACAGTGGCAAGGAGATGTTAACTACCTCGCCTGGTTTACAGGAGGTCGTGAGTTCGATCCCGACCCTGACGCCTGCTGCTGTATATTTGGAGTTTACGCGTCTCTCTCTTTCTCATCATCATCACGGTGGCTCGGAGATGTTAACTACCTCGCCTGGTATACAGGAGGTCGTGAGTTCGATCCCGACCCTGACGTCTGCTGCTGCTGTAAAATATAAATTACCTCAATGTTATCAATAAACTCTATATATTCTCCAATCAGCTAAGCTACCAACAATAAGTCATTATATATCACAATGCTATATGGCGAAAAAATGGGTGGATTCCTACCCTCAACTTTAGGACCACGGATAGCTACGAGCCCTGTTCAGACGGACGAGTTCATCCATGGTCGGAACGGAGGAGGGGGAGAGAGACAGCTGCGAGGCGCTGTTATACTCCATGTTGTAAACCATACCATTAACCGTGGTGTGAGAGGTATTAAGAGTCAATGCCAGTGAAAGAGCTGTGGTCTGAAGGTCATCGTAAAATACAATTAATTAAGAACGGAAATGGTTTAAAACATCTTTCCAATGGTTACTAAGCCAGAATCCATCTTCTCGGTTGAAATTGTCTCTGTGCTTGTATATGTGAATGGCCTCATGAACGAATCTCTCATGGTAGCCGGTTGGTTTGCAAAGAACCTCCGTCTTGGAGAAGTCAATGTCATGTGAGCCCACTAAATTATAACAGTGATCTGCCACGGCAGAGGAGTTCGTTCTACCATGTTTCAAGTCTGCTTTATGTTCGCGGATGCGGTCCGAGATATGTCGTTTGGTTTCTCCAATGTGGCTACTACCACAGAGGCACTTTAGTTTGTAAACGCCCGGGTACTGTATGTCTGGAACAGCATCTTTTACAGATGGAACCAGATCACGGATTTTATGTACTGTGTTGAATCGGACCTGGATCTTGTGTTTATTCAGGATTTTGGAGATCTTTTTAGTGACCCCTGCAATGTAGGGTAAGGTGATGGTTTTGAGTGGCTCCACAAGAGGATCCTTCTTCATGACTGGAGTGATGGCTTTGCGGATTGTGTAGTCGGAGTAACCATTAGCCCTGAGAGCCTAGTGTACGTGCTTGAGTTCACTGGTAATGTGTTCCTGGTCGGAAATGCATTGGGCTCTATGGTATAGAGTCTTGATGCGGGAGTTCTTCTGGGATGGATGGTGGTGGGAATCCGGTTTCAAGTAAGCATCTGTATGGGTAGCTTTCCTGTAGACAAAGTGGCTCATTGAACCATCATGTCTCCTTTTAATTAAGACATCCAAAAATGGTAGTTTGCCATCTTTTTCGACCTCCATGGTAAATCTGATGGCTGGGTGTATGGAATTGATGTGGTCGCGGAATTGGTCTACAGCAGGCTGGCCATGTGGCCAGATGACAAAAGTGTCATCCACGTACCTCTTCCATAAGGTCGGGCGTAGAGTGGCAGTCTGGATGGCGTCAGTTTCAAATTTTTCCATGAATACGTTGGCTACAACCGGAGATAGGGGGGAGCCCATTGGGGTGCCCTCAGTTTGTTTGTAGAAAGTTCCATTCCAGGTGAAGTATGTGTTGGTTAAGCAATGTCTCACCAGGGGGGGTACATCAGTATGCAGTCCTTGATGAACCAGGTCTTCAATGATAGCGATGGTGTCAGGTACCGGGACTTTGGTGAACAAGGACACCACATCAAAATTGACAAGCAGGTCGTCTGGGGACAGGGAAATGTCTTTGATTGTCGATACCAGGTGAGTAGAATTTAGTACCGCAGAGGTGGTTTTTCCAGTGAAAGGTCGCAGTATATCAGCAAGAAAACGTGCCAGTTTATAGGTGGGGGAGTTGATAGTAGAGACGATGGGACGAAGGGGTGTATCTTCTTTGTGTATCTTTGGAAGGCCAAATAATCTTGGTGGTCTGGCAGCAGAGGGTTTCAACGAGAAATGTTTGGTCTGATCAATTAATGCTGTTGAATCAGAGATGATTTTGTTCGTTTTGGTAACCAGGCTGTTGGTGGGATCTCTTTTATTTTTGTATAGCTGCCATCGTTGAGTAGTTCTTGAATTTTGTTGTTATATTCTGTTTTGTCCATGATGACAGTGGCATTGCCCTTGTCGGCTGAGAGGACGACAATATCACCTCTCTTTTTTAATTGAGATAATTCAAAGCGTTCATCTTTGCTGATGTTGCTAGGTGGCAACTTACCGTTTTTGAGGGTTGCAGCGATTTCAGATCTTGCTACGTCTGCAGAGATGTGACTCAAGCCCTTGAGTGCAACGTCGACATGGGCAATGATATCATTAACCGGTATGTGTCTCAGTGTGACAGCAAAGTTTAGACCTTTAGCTAAAACGGATTTCAGACCATCAGAAATGGAACTGTTACTGTGATTAATTACGACTTTGTTGACGTCTATCTTTTCGGTGTGTGGATCCGATTTTTTGTTGGAGAGGTGATTGAATTTGGAAATCAAATTGTCCCTACATTTGGTCGACATAGTGGCAGCCGAAGAGGTAGTCATATTGTCTACATGTTCCCAATCCGATGTAGACATCGGCGCTTTGTTTCTTCTCACACAGCTTAAAGGTCGTGATCTCAGCGTAGCTTTCTCACTCCAGCGCTGTGCTCCAGACAGTCTCGTCCCCTCACCTGATGAAGGCCGCTTGTGTTGTGGCCGAAACGTCGTGATAATTTTATTGTGTTATTTTATTTTATCAATTTATTATTTTATTCCCATTCTACGTGGTGGTGACTTTACCGAAAGAACCAAAGAAGACTATTCTTACATTTTGACGGGGAGACCTCACCTGGAAGCCGTCCTTGCCCACTGGCTGCTGTAGACTTCGAAAGTGCGCCAGATGCCCCGTGACGGCAGCCGCGGCCGCCTGCTGCTGCTGTTCCTGCTGTTCCTGCTGCTGCTGCTGATGCTGCTGCTGATGCTGCTGCTGATGCTGCTGATGCAGCCCAAAGCGGCCGGCCGATGCACCGACATCCGAGGCGCCCGCCGGCGAGAAGGGATCGGCGAACGCCAGCGGCGCGCCGGCGGAGGCGGAGGCCGCTGCCGCCGCGCCGTTCGACGCCGCGTCGGCGTTAGCCAGCGGGTACGAATGTCGGTGAGCCACCGCACCTCGGCTCTGCTGCTGCTGCTGTTGCTGCTGTTGCTGCTGTTGCTGCTGCTGTTGTTGTTGCTGATGATGGTGGTGTGCATTATGCTGAGCCAGTAGATGCTGCTGTTGCTGCTGTTGCTGCTGCTGCTGCTGTTGCTGCTGCTGCTGCTGTTGCTGGAGGTGGTGGTGGTGGTGGTGAAGCTGGTGCTGGCCGGGAACAACGAAACCACCGTAGGTCCTCGGGTCAAACGCCGCCCGGCTCCTGTCAGAGCGCGGCTCCGCCGAGCGACCGCCCTGCTTCCTCCTCTTCGACGACGACGACGACGACGAGGTGGACGACAGCTGCCGCTTCCCGCTCTCGGCCGCCGCGCTGCCGCTGCCGCCGCCGGCACCGGAAGCCCTGGGCCTCCCGGTGCCGTGATCTTGGCTCATGGACGAGGCCGCGGGTACGGCCGAGAACGAGACGCAGCTCAAGTCGCAGTGCTGCTGCTGCTGCTGCTGCTGCATCTGTTGCTTCCGTGGCACAGCGAGCGCCTGCGCCTGCTGCTGCTGCAGTTGCAGCTGATGCGAGATGCCCTGCTGCAATCCCTGCCGCGTTGACAGCTGCTGCAACTGCTGCAGTGCTTGCGTCTGCTGCTGCTGCTGCTGTTCCGCCTGATGCTGCTGCTGCTGCTGCTGCGCCAAGCCCGGCAGGCGTCCCATGACGGCGCCTGCCGGGCTACCGCCGACGCCAAGCGGGTTCTCCCCCGCCGGCTTCGGGCCCGGCTCGGGCACCGCGTGACGGATCGGCAAGGCGCAGGCGGCCGCCGGCTGTTGCAGCAGCAACAGGGACGACCTCCCGCCGCCTCCGCCGCCTCCGCCGCCTCCGCCGCCTCCGCCGCCTCCGCCGCCGCCGCTCTGGACGCTGGCGGGCAGCTCGGGCGCCATCCGGTCGCCGAAAACCGCGCCGGCGCTCCCCAGCAGACTCCCCAGGCTCTCCGCTGCGCTTCTGCCGCCGATGCCGACGCCGGCGCTGCTGCCGGCGCTCCCCACGAGGTTGTTGACGCTGCTCAGGTTGCTTCCACGGGCGCTACCGATGCCGAAGCCACTTCCGCCGGCGGTGCTTCCGACCAAGTGAGCGATTCTGCCGCCCGGCCCGCCACAGCCACCGGAGCCGCCGCGGCCGCCGCTCCCGACGCCGAAGTTGGCCCCGACCAAGTGGCTGACGCCGCCGGTGCCGCCGAGGCTCGTGCCCCCGACCAAGCGGCCGACGCCCCCGCCGCCGCTTCCAATGCCGAGGCCGCTTCCGCCGGCGCCTCCGCCGACGCTCCCCACCAAATGGGTCGCGCCGCTCAGCACGCTTCCGCTGCTGCTGCCAAGGCCGAGGCCGCCGCCGCCGCCGCCGCCGGAACCGCTTCCGACCAAGTGCTTTATGCTGCCGAGGCTGTTTGAAGCAGCGCCGCCAAACACGCTTCCGCCGGCGCTTCTACTGCCGAGGCCGCCTGCGACGGCATTTCCGGGATCCCCGAGACCGGCGCTTCCCACCAGGTGGCCGACGCCGCTCGGCACGCTTCCGCCGGCGCCGCCGAGGCTGAAGATGCTGTCGCTGGCGCTCCGGCAGCTGCCGAGGCCGGTGCTTCCCATCAGGTGGCCGACGCCGCTCGGCACACCTCCGCCGCCGCTTCCGACAAAGTGGCCGATGCTGCCAAGGCCGCTCGCATTTCCGCTTTCAGCACAGCGGCCGACGCCGCCGCCGCCGATGCTGCTGCTGCTGCTGCCGCTTCCCCTGGCGCTGCCGGCAAGGCCGACGCTTCCCACGAAATGACCGCCGCCGCCGCCGCTCACGGCGCCGCTCACGGCGCCGCTCACGGCGCCGCTCACAGCGCCGCCCGCCTTTCCCGACGTCGCCCCCCAGCAGCGAACGGTGGCCACGGTCGTCGACGGGCTCCCGGCACAACTCCCCACCGCGGATAACGCCGCGCTGTCCTCGCAGCCACCGCCGGCGCCGCCGCCGCCGCCGACACAACCGTCACCGGCATCGCCGACGGACACCGGCGGTGGCGCCACCGTGGCCTGGCTGTGCCGCTCACGGTGGGCGTCGCCAATTTCCTCGCTCCCCCGACTCTCATCCCCACCCTGCTGGTGCCCTGGCGTCACCGTTGCCTGCAGCAGCTGTTGCTGTTGCTGCTGGTGGTGATGGCGCAGCTGCTGCTGCTGCTGCAGCAGCAGCTGCTGTTGCTGCTGCTGTTGCTGTTGTTGGGAGTGACGGTGGTAGTGGAGGTGGTGATGGTGGTGGTGGTGGTGGTGGCCGTTGCCGTGCGACGACGGAGGGGCCCAGCGTGCGTCCGGCGTCGGGGCCCGGTCGGCGCCATCGCCGGGCGCCGGAGACGACGCCAACGACGACGAGGACGACGACGACGACGAGGAGGAGGAGGAGGAGGAGGAGAGCGATGAGGACGACGCGACCGTGAGCAGCGACGCCACCGAGAATCCGTGCGTGCCGGAACTGGGAGCCGCCGTGCCGGAGCCGGCGGCCGCGACCGCCGCGTCGCCGGCGCCGGCCGGCGGCCGCGACGCCGGCGCGGCGCCGTGGCCGCCGGCGTCGCCGTCGGGGTGCTCGGCAGCGGCGGGCGGCCGGACGGCGGCAAACGGCTGCGCCGCACGGCGGGCGACAGAGGGAGGCGGAGGAGCGGAGGCCGGGCGAGGGGGAGCAACAGCAGCAGCAGGGGGAGCAGCAGGGGGAGCAGGAGAAGAAGCAGCGGCAGGAGGGGGAGCAGCGGCAGGAGGGGGAGCAGGTGGAGCATCAGCAGCAGGAGGAGCAGCAGCAACAGGAGCAGGTGGAGCAGCAGGAGCAGCAGCAAGAGTGGGAGAGCAGAAGGCGGAGGGGGCGGAGGGTGACGACGACGACGAGGTGAGGGGGACGAGAGGCGACGAGGAGGGAGCGCCCGGGGGGGGGGGCGGCGGGCGACGAGGTGAGGGGGACGAGAGGCGACGAGGGGGCCGCAGGTGAAGATCGGGGGAGGAGGAGCGAAGCAGCGGGAGGCGGGAGAGGTGACGACGAAGACGAGGAGGCGGAGGCGGAGGAGGCGGAGGAGGCGGAGGAGGCAGAGGAGGAGGCGGAGGAGGCGGAGGAGGAGGAGGTGGAGGAGGCGGAGGCGGAGGCGGCGGAGGAGGCAACAGGAGGCGAAGAGGAGAGGAGAGATGAAGAGAAGGCGGAGGAGGAGGTAACAGGAGGCGAAGGGGAGAGGAGAGATGAAGAGAAGGCGGAGGAGGAGGTAACAGGAGGCGAAGGGGAGAGGAGAGATGAAGAGGTGGCTGGAGAAGAGGGGTGGCTCGGCAGAGGAGGGGGGGCAGGGGGTGAAAGATCGGCCGCAGGGGCCACGGGAGCGGACAGAGTCGCGGTGGGGGACGAGGCGAGAACGGGGGACAGCGTGGGGGCAGACGTGGGGGCAGACGCTGGGGCAGACACGGGGGCAGACGCGGGGGCAGACACAGGGGCAGACACGGGGGCAGACGTGGGGGAAGACACGGGGGAAGACGTGGGGGCAGGAGGCGGGGGAGCCAGAGACGGAGGAGCCAGAGGTGGAGGAGCCAGAGACGGAGGAGCCAGAGATGGAGGAGCCAGAGGCGGAGGAGCCAGAGACGGAGGAGCCAGAGGTGGAGGAGCCAGAGACGGAGGCGCCAGAGATGGAGGAGCCAGAGGCGGAGGAGCCAGAGACGGAGGAGCCAGAGGTGGAGGAGCCAGAGACGGAGGAGCCAGAGATGGAGGAGCCAGAGGCGGAGGAGCCAGAGACGGAGGAGCCAGAGGTGGAGGAGCCAGAGACGGAGGAGCCAGAGACGGAGGAGCCAGAGGTGGAGGAGCCAGAGGCGGAGGAGCCAGAGATGGAGGAGCCAGAGGTGGAGGAGCCAGAGATGGAGGAGCCAGAGATGGAGGAGCCAGAGGTGGAGGAGCCAGTGATGGAGGAGCCAGAGGCGGAGGAGCCAGAGACGGAGGAGCCAGAGGTGGAGGAGCTAGAGATGGAGGAGCCAGAGATGGAGGAGCCAGAGATGGAGGAGCCAGAGGCGGAGGAGCCAGAGACGGAGGAGCCAGAGGCGGAGGAGCCAGAGATGGAGGAGCCAGAGGCAGAGGAGCCAGAGACGGAGGAGCCAGAGATGGAGGAGGAGTCAAAGGAGGTGGAGTCAGAGGCGGGTGAGTTGGTGGAGGAGGAAGATCGAGGGAAGAGGGTGGAGAAGTTTCCACTGGTGTGGAAACTTCTCCACCCAAGGACATCACCGAGGCAGAGTGAGACAACGCTTCTGCCGTTATCGCTGCTGGCGCCGGTGGTGCCGTTACCGTCACCGGTGTCGGCGCCGCCGCCGGCACCGCCGTCAAATCGCGACCTCCGCCAGACGGAGCGCCCGCCGCCGCCGCCGCCGCCGCCGCCGCCGCCGCCCTTCCAATCCCGGTAGCAGCCACGGACGCCGCCTCAACCGCTCTCTCCGGCATCCCGCTCCTCTCTCCGCTCTCCCCGCCGGCGCCGTCGGCGGGAGGGCACCTCCTGCGCCCGCGCTTCTGCCTGGGCGCCGACTCCCTCCTCCCGCGCGCCTGCATCTTCCGCTTCCTGCCCAGCAGCGCCCGCACCGTCTTCAGGGCGCCGACGGCGCTGCCGCCGGCGCCGTCGCGGGAGGGCGACGGCGCCGGGCGGAGCGGCGCCCCCTCCGAGATGCTGCGGTTGAGGCAGGCGATGGCGCTCAGCGCGGCGCTGGCGCCGGTGCCGGCGGCGGAGTCGGCCCCCGGTTCCGGCCGTAGGATCTGCATCCGGGCGGCGTGGCCGTCGGCGAAGGAGAGCAACGAGGAGGACGGGGAGGAGGAAGCCACGGAAGGGGAGAGGAACGGCGACGACGACGACGACGAATAAGGAGGGGAAGAGGAGGACGCTGCCAGCGAGGGGCTGAGCGGCTGGATGTTGAACAGCTGCCCGTTCACCAGCACCGTCTGGGACGGCACACCTGGCACGGGTGCCGCCCGCTGCTTCGGCGCGGCCGCGGCGGCCGCGGCGGCGGCGGGCGGCGGTCGTGGCAGGATGCTCACGAGCGGGCGCCCGCCTCCCTTGCGGCCCGAGTTACCGGCGGGCGCCCTGTCAGCCGCGCCGACGTGGCCGGTCCGGGACGTTCCCCTCCTCTGCAGCAGCTGCTGGGCGCGCACGCCGGGCTGCTGGACGATGAGCAGCGGCGTTTGCCGCGCTCCGGCGACGCCGACCTCGCCGCCGCCGCCGCCCGTCGCCCCGCCCCGCCGCTGCTGCTGCCGCCGCCGCTGCTGCTGCCGCCGCGCGCCGGTCGCGTTCCGGGCCGACGTCCCCGCGACCGGAGCGGCCGCGTCGGGCGGCGGCGGCGGCGCGCCGACCGACGCGGCGACCCGAGGGGCCGTCGGCGGAAACGCCGGCGGCGGGACCGGCGCCGGAGATTCCGACGACGGAGCTTGCGCAGAAACCGAACCGTCGGCCGGCTCCTCGCCGGGAGGCGCCCGCGGGGGAGGGGGACTCTCCGGCGGGACCCCGGCGTCGCCGGCGTCGCGGGCGGCCGCCGTTTGCCGGGGCGTCCGGCGGCGAGGCGAACGGCGGCAGGGCTGGGGACGGCGACGGCGAGAGCGACGACAGCGGCGACGCCGCGGCCGGCGGGCCGGGCTGCGCGGCAACGTCCGGCGGCGGTTCTGCGGGCGGCCCCCACTCGTCCGCGACACCGGGGCTCCCCGTCGCCGCGACGCCCCCCGCGGCGGCTCCGTCGTAGCGGCCGCCGCCCGTTCCGTTCGAGCCGACGGGCCCGCGAATGTCGGGCTGATCGGGGGGCGCTACGGGACTCTGTACCACGGGACTCTGCGTCCTCGTTACAGGACCCTGCGTCTGTGTTACAGGACTCAGTGTCTGTGTTACAGGACTCAGTGTCTGTACCACAGGACCCTGCGTCTGTGTTACAGGACCCTGCGTCTGTGTTACAGGACTCAGTGTCTGTACCACAGGACCCTGCGTCTGTGTTACAGGACTCAGTGTCTGTGTTACAGGACTCAGTGTCTGTACCACAGGACCCTGCGTCTGTGTTACAGGACTCAGTGTCTGTGTTACAGGACTCAGTGTCTGTACCACAGGACCCTGCGTCTGTGTTACAGGACTCAGTGTCTGTGTTACAGGACTCAGTGTCTGTACCACAGGACCCTGCGTCTGTGTTACAGGACTCAGCGTCTGTGTTACAGGACCCTGCGTCTGTGTTACAGGACCCTGCGTCTGCACCACGGCACTCGGCGTCTGCACCGCGCCCATCGCCTCCAGCGTCCCGCAAGCCGCCACCACCGGCCCCGCCGTCACCACCGGCCCCGCCGTCACCACCGGCCCCGCCGCTGTCACCGCCGCCCCCGCCGTCACCGCCGGCCCCGCCGCCGAGCCGTGCGCGCTGCCGTTGGGGCCGTGGATCTGAGCCCCGGGGTAAACGATGAGCGCCTGCGGCGGCCGCGGCACGAACACCGGCACCGCCGCCCCCTGCGCCGTCGCCAGGAGAGCGGCAACTCCCGGCGTCCCGGCCGGCGCCGGGCCCCGCCGGGCCTTGGCCTTGCCCTTCCAGTGCACGGTGGGGTCGTCGAAGAGGCAGATGTCGTTGGCCCTGAGGAGCTGGGCGAAGCGATCATTCTCCTGGCGCAGCACCTCCAGCTGCAAGCGCAGGCGGTGGATTTCCTCCACTGCGGGGCGGGGGAGAGGGGGGGAGGGGGAGGGGGGGGGAGGGAGGGGGGGAGGGAGAGAGGGGGGGGAGAGTGAGGCAGTGGTGGGGTGGTGTGTGGGTCGGGGTGAGTAGTGTTGGTCGAGTGGCAGTGGTGTTGAGTAGGTGGGCGAGTGGGTGGGTGGGGTGAGTAGTGTTGGTCGAGTGAGTGGTTGAGTAGGTGGGTGAGTGGGTGGATGGGGTGAGTAGTGTTGGTCGAGTGAGTGGGAGTGGTGTTGAGTAGGTGGGCGAGTGGGTGGGTGGGGTGAGTAGTCTTGGGTTGAGTGAATGGCAGTGGCGTTGAGTGAATGGTGGAGTGAGTGAGCGGGAACGGTGAGTGCTGTTGGGAGGTACGAAGAGCGAGTGACAGTGGCGAGTGTTGGTGGTGAGGGTCGGAGCGAGTGACGGTGGCGAGCGTTGGTGGCGAGAGTCGGAGCGAGTGACGGTGGTGAGCGTTGGTGGTGAGAGTCGGAGCGAGTGACGGTGGCGAGCGTTGGTGGTGAGGGTCGGAGCGAGTGACGGTGGTGAGTGTTGGTGGTGAGTGTCGGAGTGAGTGACGGTGGCGAGCGTTGGTGGTGAGAGACGGAGCGAGTGACGGTGGTGAGCGTTGGTGGTGAGAGTCGGAGCGAGTGACGGTGGCGAGCGTTGGTGGTGAGAGTCGGAGCGAGTGACGGTGGCGAGCGTTGGTGGTGAGAGACGGAGCGAGTGACGGTGGTGAGTGTTGGTGGTGAGAGTCGGAGTGAGTGACGGTGGCGAGCGTTGGTGGTGAGAGACGGAGCGAGTGACGGTGGTGAGCGTTGGTGGTGAGAGTCGGAGCGAGTGACGGTGGTGAGTGTTGGTGGTGAGAGACGGAGCGAGTGACGGTGGCGAGCGTTGGTGGTGAGGGTCGGAGCGAGTGACGGTGGCGAGCGTTGGTGGTGAGAGTCGGAGCGAGTGACGGTGGTGAGTGTTGGTGGTGAGAGACGGAGCGAGTGACGGTGGCGAGTGTTGGTGGTGAGGGTCGGAGCGAGTGACGGTGGCGAGCGTTGGTGGCGAGAGTCGGAGCGAGTGACGGTGGTGAGCGTTGGTGGTGAGAGTCGGAGCGAGTGACGGTGGCGAGCGTTGGTGGTGAGAGACGGAGCGAGTGACGGTGGTGAGTGTTGGTGGTGAGAGTCGGAGTGAGTGACGGTGGCGAGCGTTGGTGGTGAGAGTCGGAGCGAGTGACGGTGGTGAGCGTTGGTGGTGAGAGTCGGAGCGAGTGACGGTGGCGAGCGTTGGTGGTGAGAGTCGGAGCGAGTGACGGTGGCGAGCGTTGGTGGTGAGAGACGGAGCGAGTGACGGTGGTGAGGGTTGGTGGTGAGAGTCGGAGTGAGTGACGGTGGCGAGCGTTGGTGGTGAGAGACGGAGCGAGTGACGGTGGTGAGCGTTGGTGGTGAGAGTCGGAGCGAGTGACGGTGGTGAGTGTTGGTGGTGAGAGACGGAGCGAGTGACGGTGGCGAGCGTTGGTGGTGAGGGTCGGAGCGAGTGACGGTGGCGAGCGTTGGTGGTGAGAGTCGGAGCGAGTGACGGTGGTGAGTGTTGGTGGTGAGAGACGGAGCGAGTGACGGTGGCGAGTGTTGGTGGTGAGGGTCGGAGCGAGTGACGGTGGTGAGCGTTGGTGGTGAGGGTCGGAGCGAGTGACAGTGGCGAGCGTTGGTGGTGAGAGTCGGAGCGAGTGACGGTGGTGAGCGTTGGTGGTGAGTGTCGGCTGGTGAGAGTCGGCTGGTGAGCGTCGGCTGGTGAGCCAGCAACATTTGCTCACCCTGCTCAGGAGTGCCGCTGTTCAGCAGCAGCTGCTCATTCCTCTTCCTCAGCTCCGTGATGTAAATCGACGCTTGCTCCAGAATCATGTTCTTGCTCTGGGGCCATTGGGAGGGGTGGGGGGGGGAGCACCGGAGAAGCGAGGGGAAGCGAGGAGAATCGGGAAGCGCGGAGAAGCCAGGAGAAGCGAGGGGAAGCGCAGAGAAGCGAGGAGAAGCGAGGAGAGGCGAGGAGAAGCGAGGAGAAGCGAGGAGAAGCGAGGTGAAGCAAGGAGAAGCGGGGAGAATCGGTAAGCACGGAGAAGCGAGGTGAAGCGAGAAGTGAGGAGAAGCGAGGTGAAGCATGGAGAAGCGCGGAGAAGCGAGGAGAAGCACGGAGAAGCGAGGTGAAGCAAGGAGAAGCGAGAAGAAGCGAGGTGAAACGAGGAGAAGCGAGGAGAAGCACGGAGAAGCGAGGTGAAGCAAGAAGCGAAAAGAAACGAGGTGAAACAAGGAGAAGCGAGGAGAATCGGGAAGCACGGAGAAGCATGGAGAAGCGAGGAGAAGCGAGGATCGAGGAGAGAAACAAAGCGAGGAGAGTCCTCGCTGTAACGTGGGACTGGGGCTACGCACTTGTAAACCGACATTCTTTTACAAGTGCTGATTGCATTAAGTTTGTTTCCCTTCAGCCCGCGCCTTCCGATTAGCACGGTTGGCTACGTAAAGCAGTTCATAGAGACCCACGGACATTCAGACCATAGACACCCAGGGAGAACCACAGAGCCCCACAGAGATCCACAGACCCCCACAGAGACCCAGAGACCCACAGAGACCCACAGAGACCCATAGAGCCCCACAGAGACCCATAGAGCCCCACAGAGATCCATAGAGCCCCACAGAGATCCACAGAGCCACACAGAGATCCACAGAGCCCCACAAAGACCCAGAGCCCCACAGAGACCCATAGAGCCCCACAGAGACCCATAGAGCCCCACAGAGACCCAGAGACCCACAGAGACCCACAGAGACCCACAGAGATCCAGAGCCCCACAGAGACCCATAGAGCCCCACAGAGACCCACAGAGACACCCATAGAGACCCACAGAGACACCCATAGAGACCCACAGAGGCACCCATAGAGACCCACAGAGACGCAACCATAGAGACCCACAGAGACACCCATAGAGACACCCATAGAGACCCACAGAGACACAACCATAGAGACCCACAGAGACACCCATAGAGACACCCATAGAGACCCACAGACCCACAGAGACACAACCATAGAGACCCACAGAGACACCCATAGAGACACCCATAGAGACCCACAGACCCACAGAGACACCCATAGAGACCCACAGACCCACAGAGACACACCCATAGAGACCCACAGAGACCCATAGACCCACAGAGACACCCATAGAGACCCACAGACCCACAGAGACACAACCATAGAGACCCACAGAGACACAACCACAGAGACCCACAGAGACACCCATAGAGACCCATAGAGACACAACCATAGAGACCCATAGAGACACAACCATAGAGACCCATAGACCCACAAAGACACCCACAGAGACACCCATAGAGACCCACAGAGACACCCATAGAGACCCATAGACCCACAGAGACACCCATAGCGACCCACAGAGACCCACAGACCCACAGAGACACAAACAGAGACCCACGGAAACTCATAGACCCACAGAGCCACCCATAGAGACCCACAGAGACACCCATAGAGACCCACAGACCCACAGAGACACCCATAGAGACCCCCATAGAGACACCCATAGAGACCCAGAGCACGACTGGCTACGTACGATGTGAAACAAGTTCAACGTACATACAAACATAGAGACCCACAGAGACCCATAGACCCACAGAGACACCCATAGAGACCCACAGAGACACCCATAGAGACACCCATAGAGACACACATAGAGACCCATAGAGCCCCACAGAGACCCATAGAGCCCCACAGAGACCCATAGAGCCCCACAGAGACCCACAGAGACCCACAGACCCACAGAGACCCACAGAGACCCACAGAGATCCACAGAGACCCATAGAGACCCACAGAGACACCCATAGAGACCCACAGACCCACAGAGACCTACAGAGGCACAACCATAGAGACCCACAGAGACACCCATAGCGACCCACAGAGACACAAACATAGAGACCCACGGAAACTCATAGACCCACAGAGACACCCATAGAGACCCACAGAGACACCCATAGAGACCCACAGACCCACAGAGACACCCATAGAGACCCACAGAGACACCCATAGAGCCCAACAGACACACCCATAGAGCCCAACAGAGACACCCATAGAGCCCCACAGAGACCCATAGAGCCCAACAGAGACACCCATAGAGCCCAACAGAGACACCCATAGAGCCCCACAGAGACCCATAGAGCCCCAGAGACACCCATAGAGCCCAACAGAGACACCCATAGAGCCCAACAGAGACACCCATAGAGCCCAACAGAGACACCCATAGAGCCCAACAGAGACCCATAGAGCCCAACAGAGACACCCATAGAGCCCCACAGAGACCCATAGAGCCCAACAGAGACACCCATAGAGCCCAACAGAGACACCCATAGACCCACAGAGACACCCACAGACACAACCAGAGACCCATAGAGCCCCACAGAGACCCATAGAGCCCCACAGAGACACCCATAGAGCCCCACAGAGACCCATAGAGCCCAACAGAGACACCCATAGACCCACAGAGACACCCACAGACACAACCAGAGACCCATAGAGCCCCACAGAGACCCATAGAGCCCCACAGAGACACTCATAGAGCCCCACAGAGACCCATAGAGCCCAACAGAGACACCCATAGACCCACAGAGACACCCACAGACACAACCAGAGACCCATAGAGCCCCACAGAGACCCATAGAGCCCCACAGAGACCCATAGAGCCCCACAGAGACCCACGTGCGTACGTGCAAGCCGGCGCGCGTGAAGCTACCTGCTTGAGCGCGGCCGAGCAGGGCAGCAGATCGCCGATCTTGTTGATGCCGTAGTTGATTTTCTTCTTCCGGTGTCGCTCCACTGATGCGGGCGCAGGGGAAAGGGCGGCACAGCACAGGGCAGGCGCTCCCTCGCTAGGCCGCCGGGCTCACGTTGTCATGCTGCTGTTGGTGATGGTTACCGATGGTAGTCGTGTTGGTGGTGGTGACGGTGCTGATGGTAATGACGGTGCTGATGGTAATGTTGGTGGTGGTGATGGTGCTGATGGTAATGACGATGGTGCTGATGGTAATGACGGTGGCGGTGGTGATGGTGCTGATGGTAATGATGGTGCTGATGGTAATGATGGTGCTGATGGTAATGACGGTGCTGATGGTAATGTTGGTGGTGGTGATGGTGCTGATGGTAATGACGATGGCGGTGGTGATGGTGCTGATGGTAATGACGATGGCGGTGGTGATGGTGCTGATGGTAATGATGTTGGTGGCGGTGGTGATGGTGCTGATGGTAATTATGTTGTTGGTGGTGGTGATGGTGCTGATGGTAATTATGTTGTTGGTGGTGGTGGTGCTGATGGTAATTATGTTGTTGGTGGTGGTGGTGATGGTGCTGATGGTAATGACGGTGGCGGTGGTGATGGTGCTGATGGTAATGATGGTGCTGATGGTAATGATGGTGCTGATGGTAATGTTGGAGGTGGTGATGGTGCTGATGGTAATGACGGTGGCGGTGGTGATGGTAATGATGGTGGTGGTGATGGTGCTGATGGTAATGACGGTGGCAGCAGTCGTGATGGTGCTGATGGTAATGATGTTGGTGGTGGTGATGATAATGCTGATGGTAATGATGTTGGTGGTGGTGATGATGGTGCTGATGGTAATGATGTTGTTGGTGGTGATGATGGTGCTGATGGTAATGATGTTGGTGGCGGTGATGATGGTGCTGATGGTAATGATGTTGGTGGTGGTGGTGATGGTGCTGATGGTAATCATGTTGGTGGTGGTGATGATGGTGCTGATGGTAATGACGGTGGCGGTGGTGATGGTGCTGATGGTAATGATGGTGCTGATGGTAATGATGGTGCTGATGGTAATGTTGGTGGTGGTGATGGTGCTGATGGTAATGATGTTGGTGGTGGTGATGATGGTGCTGATGGTAATGATGTTGGTGGTGGTGGTGATGGTGCTAATGGTAATGATGTTCGTGGCGGTGATGATGGTGCTGATGGTAATGATGTTGGTGGCGGTGATGATGGTGCTGATGGTAATGAGGGTGTCGGCAGTCGTGATGGTGCTGATGGTAATGATGTTGGTGGTGGTGATGATGGTGCTGATGGTAATGATGTTGGTGGCGGTGATGATAACGATGACGATGATGGCGGTGGTGGTCGCCGTGGGTCGTCGTAATCATCGTCAGCCTTGACGATCGTCGTCCACCCATCAACGTCATCGTCGACTGAAGCAACACAGAACGTGCGCTTGTGTCTCACCTGCATTGTGCGACTCCCTGTTCTTCATCCTGTGGGCAGAGACACGAGAGGGAACACCACAGGATCGCAACGTTCACTTGGGCACAGATGCCCGGTATGGGCACGAGGTCAGCGAGTTACAAGAGCAAACGGCACACACACACGAAAACACAACGGGAGCGCGTGAGCAAGCAATTACGGAGGATGCTCCTTTGCCTTCGCCACTCAAGTCCGTCAGCCTGCGAGCCTTGTGCACGTCCGCCCGTGGAACTTCTCGACCCGCGCCGTACTACTGCAGTAGACCGCGCTAATCGGAGGCGCCGGGGGAAGGATAACAGACCGAAGGCAAAAAAGCAGTTGCAGAGAAATGGGTTTTGAAACGAGACGATCGAAAAGCTCACGGCACCCAGTGGCTTCCTCATCTCGGAAGGGAAGAGCGTCCCATGCGGCCTGCACCATGACTAAATCGGCGAGGCGTCGCCTTGCCTCATTCGTGGCGATCGCTTTAGCGCGGTGTAACGGACCGACGGGGGACCGAACTTACCTTGGGGATCCCGGAACCGGTTCCGGCATCATTATCTCCGAGATTCCGTGCCGCGCGTCTTTTCGCCCGGAGCTCCTCGCCTCGTCCCGTCACCCGGCGGAGCTGTGGGGGACAGGAGCCGTGAACGCGGACGCGGGGGTCTGCGCCAGGCTAGGTGCACTTTGAGGAATGCCGAGGCGAGTGGAGACTGGCCTGGCCTGGCCTTGCAAGGAAGGGATTCATCGGTCAGGAGTTGGTGAAAACATCGGCACGGGGGTAAATATACAGCTTCGTAAACGATGGCAACTGTATCGGCTAGGTGGAGAGTTCGGGCTCCTTTGAGCCTACCCGTTTGAAAGGGGCGCTTTAAAAAAGACCGGGGGTTATTGTGATTGCTCATTGCAGGATTCCGGCAGGAAAAACGACGCCGCTGCCTTACCTCAAAAACAAATAGGGGTCTTTGCGGTGGCCACAAAAGCAATTGCCGTGCCAACCCGTGAAGATTACCCCGTATTCGCTTTGCAGGGAAATTGAGCGTTCCATACGGCGTACAGCCGTTTCAACGCGGGCACGAATCATTGTTCGCGTCCATCTGTTTTGTGTGTCGCTCCCTTGCGATGGTGACTTTGTAGGATGAACGTTGAGATTCATAAGGGGCGCGCGGGGGTGGGTCCAATACGGTCTGAGTTGGTCTCTATTAAGGTAGGGTTTGTACTAATACTTTCAGCAGTTTTTTTTCTTTCTCTTGCCAGTGGTTGCCCCACCCGATGACGACTGCTTGTGTTAGCGATCTCTCCCACGCGCCTTTACCGAAGGAGCCAAAGGGTGTGGATTCCTGCAGTCACGAAAAGCTTCAAATGAAGGTAGGCACTGATAAGGTATGCAAGAATGATATTTGTTAAATGCACGGGCCGGCCGTAGGAGCGGTGGCGGAGTGGTCAGTGCGTCTGGACCATCTCTCTCTGTGGACACCAGCCAGCCAAAATCCCACCTCCCCGCACCGCCGCCGCGTGAAAACCTTCGCAAACCCCGCAGTGACCGGCGGGGTGAAGTATGGCCGAAAATAACCCCCCGCGGTACACGGCGTTGAGGGAAGCCTTTTAAAACCCCGCACTGATAAGAGTGGACAATGTGTCTCTGTACATGTGTGTGTGGCTGTGTGTGTGGCTGTGTGTGCCTGTGTGTGTGTCTGTGTGTGTGTACGTGTGTGTGTATGTGTGTGTGTGGCTGTGTGTGTGGCTGTGTGTGCCTGTGACGGCCTGTGTGTGTGTCTGTGTGTGTGTCTGTGTGTGTACGTGTGTGTGTACGTGTGTGTGGCTGTGTGTGTCTGTGTGTGTGTCTGTGTGTGTCTGTGTGTGTCTGTGTGTGTCTGTGTGTGTGTCTGTGTGTGTCTGTGTGTGTACGTGTGTGTGGCTGTGTGTGTGGCTGTGTGTGTAGCTGTGTGTGTGTACGTGTGTGTGTCTGTGTGTGTCTGTGTGTGTGTACGTGTGTGTGTACGTGTGTGTGGCTGTGTGTGTGTACGTGTGTGTGGCTGTGTGTGTGTCTGTGTGTGTGTACGTGTGTGTGGCTGTGTGTGTGTACGTGTGTGTGTCTGTGTGTGTGTCTGTGTGTGTCTGTGTGTGTACATGTGTCTGCCTGTGTGTGTACGTGTGTGTATGTGTGTGTACATGTGTGTGCCTGTGTGTGTACGTGTGTGTGTACATGTGTGTGTGTCTGTGTGTGTACATGCCTGTGTGTGTACGTGTGTGTGCCTGTGTGTATACGTGTGTGTACATGCCTGTGTGTATACGTGTGTGTGCCTGTGTGTGTCGACTCAGCCTCAAATGAGGACCTGGTGCGGTGTGCAGTAAACATCGCCACTAGGGAGACAAAGGCGGCCGGGCGTGGTTGCTGGCCACCCACCCCCTCGTGTGCTCGCTAACAGCACTTGCCCCTACAGTCTGTTGAGGTTATACGGTGGGGGGTGGATCTTTGTATGTGTGTGTCCCCTCGGCCAGAGCGGGAAATTCCACGATACCATGACGGGCGCAAGTCGACTCTACACTATGCACGGAGTTGACAGGGATGTTGCTGAACAATGTTACAGTACAATGTTACAGTACAATGTTACAATGTTACAATACAGTGTTACAGTAAAATGTTACAGTATGTTACAGTACAATGTTACAGTACAATGTTACAGTATAATGTTACAGTACAATGTTACAATGTTACAGTACAATGTTACAGTACAATGCTACAATGTCGCTGTACAATGTTACAATGTCGCTGTACAATGTCGCTGTACAATGTTACAATGTCGCTGTACAATGTTACAATGTCGCTGTACAATGTTACAATGTAACAGTATAATGTTACAGTACAATGTTACAATGTTACAGTACAATGCTACAATGTCGCCGTACAATGTTACAATGTTACAGTACAATGTTACAATGTCGCTGTACAATGTTACAGTACAATGTTACAATGTCGCTGTACAATGTTACAATGTTACAGTACAATGTTACAATGTTACAGTACAATGTTACAGTACAATGTTACAATGTTACAGTACAATGTTACAATGTTACAGTACAATGTTACAATGTCGCTAACAATGTTACAATGTTACAGTACAATGTTACAGTACAATGTTACAATGTCGCTGTACAATGTCGCTGTACAATGTTACAATGTCGCTAACAATGTTACAATGTTACAGTACAATGTTACAATGTCGCTGTACAATGTTACAGTACAATGTTACAATGTCGCTGTACAATGTTACAATGTTACAGTACAATGCTACAATGTCGCTGTACAATGTTACAATGTCGCTAACAATGTTACAATGTTACAGTACAATGTTACAGTACAATGCTACAATGTCGCTGTACAATGTCGCTGTACAGTGTTACAATGTCGCTGTACAATGTTACAATGTCGCTGTACAATGTCGCTGTACAGTGTTACAATGTCGCTGTACAATGTCGCTGTACAATGTTACAATGTCGCTGTACAATGTTACAATGTCGCTGTACAATGTTACAATGTCGCTGTACAATGTCGCTGTACAGTGTTACAATGTCGCTGTACAATGTTACAATGTCGCTGTACAATGTCGCTGTACAATGTTACAATGTCGCTGTACAATGTCGCTGTACAATGTTACAATGTCGCTGTACAATGTTACAATGTTACAGTACAATGTTACAGTACAATGTTACAATGTCGCTGTACAATGTTACAATGTCGCTGTACAATGTTACAATGTCGCTGTACAATGTTACAATGTCGCTGTACAATGCTACAATCTTATAGTACAACGTTACAGTAAAATTGTCACAACGTTACAGTACAATGGTTATAATGTTGCAATGATCTACGTTGTGTTCTTAACGGGGTTCTTGACCTCGCGGCCTAGCGACAACCCGAAACCAGACACCCCCGCAACCACCGCTCTTGCCTGACCTCCCTACCCAGCTCCCTCGCCTCGCGCCCGGCGAGAGGCCGCTCAGGCGAGCCCGGAGGCTTCGGCCGACTGGCTACGGGGAAAGAGTGCTGGAAGGGCCCCACACTCTTAAGACCGCGACAAAATTCAATCTTACTCCGTCAGCGTCTTCATGGTCACAGCGGTCGCGCCGCGGTAGCAGTATTTTGTTTTCGTTGCTAATTATATTTTATTCACTTTAACAAAAAAATAAAATAATTCTAATGTAAATACACTTCGCGGCGGGCCCCATAGGCCAGGCCGAGTCAGACCGAGCCAATGGATCGCCGATCCGGTCGAATGGGGGGAGTCAATGCAATCGCTCACCTTCGATTCACCCTTTCTGCGTATCGATTGCTCTGGTCCGTTACTAAGGGGCGTTGCTAGGGGTAAGTGGGAGTGGGGGGGGGAACCACGTGGCTACAGCTTCAAAGAAGAAAAATCATGCATTTGCATGGCCCTCTGTCCTCCTCTACTTAGGGGCCGTCCATAAATGACGTCACTCACCTGGGGGGGGGGGGGGTCAGACATTTGTGACGAGGGGGGGGGGGTTGAGAAATGTGACGTCACATCAAAATTCGCAACTTTAAATAAATATAGACAACACGTTCTATTCTTGGTTCTTTCGGTAAAGTCACGTAGAAGGGAAACAATAAAATAATAAAAAATAAAAAACAATAAAAATTCTCACGACGTTTCGACTGCAACACAAGCAATCATCATCAGGTGTGAAAACCACAACAAGAAAATGTGAAAAAGTGGCGTTTTTTAAACGTTAGCACCACGGAGAGCGATTTGGCAGTTTATTCAGATGGACGAGTCCATCTATGTTCGGAAAAGAGGAGGGGGGAGACGACAAAAATGGATGCGGTCTGAAAGCCACCGTAAGCGTGAACAATCAATTAAGACCCGAAATGGTTGATCAAATCCTTCCAATGATTGCTAAGCCAGAATCCATCTTCTCGGTTGAAATTGTCTCTGTGTTGGTATATGTGGATAGCCACATGAACGAATCTCTCATGGTAGCCAGATGGCTTGCAGAGAACCTCTGTCTTGGAAAAGTCAATGTCATGTGAGCCTACTGAATTATAACAGTGATCTGCCATGGCCGAGGTGTTGGTCCTTTCGTGTTTTAGGTCTGCTTTGTGTTCACGAATGCGATCCGAGACATGGCGCTTGATTTCTCCAATGTAACTACTACCACAGAGGCAACTTAGTTTGTAGACGCCAGGGTACTGTATGTCCGGAATCACATCTTTTACAGATGGAACCAGATCACGGATTTTATGTAATGTGTTGAATTGGACCTGGATCTTGTGTTTATTCAAGATTTTGGAGATCTTTTTTGTGATCCCCACAATGTAGGGTAAAGTGATGGTTTTGAAAGGCTCCTCAAGAGGGTCTTTCTTTATGGTTGGAGTGATAGCTTTGCAGATTGTGTAGTCGGAGTAGCCATTAGCATTAAGAGCTTGGTGTACGTGCTTGAGTTCACTGGCTATGTGTTCCTGGTCGGATATGCATTGGGCTCTATGGTGCAGAGTCTTGATGAGGAAATTCTTCTGGGATGGATGGTGGTGGGAATCCGGTTTCAGGTAAGCATCCGTATGTGTAGCTTTCCTGTAGACAGAGTGGCTTATTGTACCATCAGGTCTCTTTTTTATTAGGACATCCAAAAAAGGTAGCTTGCCATCTTTTTCGACTTCCATGGTAAATCTGATGGCTGGGTGTATGGAATTGATGTGGTCGAGGAATTGGTCTAGAGCAGGCCGGCCATGTGGCCAGATGACAAAAGTGTCATCCACGTACCTCTTCCATAAGGTTGGGCGCAGAGTGGCAGTCTGGATGGCGTCAGTCTCAAATTTCTCCATGAAAACGTTGGCTACAACCGGAGATAGGGGGGAGCCCATTGGGGTGCCCTCAGTTTGTTTGTAGAAAGTTCCATTCCAGGTGAAGTATGTGTTGGTTAAGCAGTGTCTCACCAGGGGGGGGGGGGGTACCTCAGTGTTTAGTCCTTTATGAACCAAGTCTTCAATGATTGCGATGGTGTCAGGTACAGGAACTTTGTGAATAAGGAAACTACATCAAAACTGACAAGCAGGTCGTCTACTTAATTAAATAGACTTTTTAATAAATGTTTTCTCCTACAACATCAGAGTGCAGCGCCACATTAAATACGCACTACAATGACAATAGTTTAAAGCGATTTGAAGCATGTTTATATATTTTTTTGGGGGGGAGGGGGGCAGAGCTTTGTGACGTCATATTTGAGGGGGGGGGTCTGACTTTTTTGTGACGCCGTGTGACGGGGGGGGTCAAAAATCGTCCAAAATCGCGTGACGTCATTTATGGACGGCCCCTTACAAAGGAGTTAGGTTCGTTCGACGAGTTGTTCGCAAGTCCAACTTTACCCCTGTCGATTCAAAACGTGTTGCACGGCGTGTACACTAAGCACAGAGGAATGGCTTTAAAAGTTGTATAATTTCCTGTAGATGCCACTGGTTCTTCACGTTCTGCAATGTAGATGCCACTGGTTCTTCACTTTCTGTAGATGTAGATGCCACCGGTTCTTCACGTTCTGCAGATGTAGATGCCACTGGTTCTTCACGTTCTGTAGATGTAGATGCCACCGGTTCTTCACGTTCTGCAGATGTAGATGCCACTGGTTCTTCACGTTCTGCAGATGTAGATGCCACTGGTTCTTCATGTTCTGCAGATGTAGATGCCGCCGGTTCTTCACATTCTACAGATGTAGATGCCACTGGTTCTTCACGTTCTGCAGATGTAGATGCCACTGGTTCTTCACGTTCTGCAGATGTCGATGCCACTGGTTCTTCAGCGTCTGCAGATGTAGATGCCACTGGTTCTTCACGTTCTGCAGGTGTAGATGACACTGGTTCTTCACGTTCTGCAGATTCCACTGGTTCTTCATGTTCTGTAGATGTAGATGCCACTGGTTCTTCACGTTCTATAGATGTAGATGCCACTGGTTCTTCATGTTCTGCAGATGTAGATTCCACTGGTTCTTCACGTTCTGCAGATGTAGATGCCACTGGTTCTTCACGTTCTGTAGATGTAGATGCCACCAGTTCTTCACGTTCTGCAGATGTAGATGCCACCGGTTCTTCACGTTCTGCAGATGTAGATGCCACCGGTTCTTCACGTTCTGCAGATGTAGATGCCACCGGTTCTTCACGTTCTGCAGATGTAGATGCCACCGGTTCTTCACGTTCTGCAGATGTAGATGCCACTGGTTCTTCACGTTCTGCAGATGTAGATGCCACTGGTTCTTCACGTTCTGCAGATGTAGATGCCACTGGTTCTTCGCGTTCTGCAGATGTAGATGCCACTGGTTCTTCGCGTTCTGAAGATGTAGATGCCACTGGTTCTTCACGTTCTGCAGATGTAGATGCCACTGGTTCTTCACGTTCTGCAGATGTAGATGCCACTGGTTCTTCACGTTCTGCAGATGTAGATGCCACTGGTTCTTCACGTTCTGCAGATGTAGATGCCACTGGTTCTTCACGTTCTGCAGATGTAGATGCCACTGGTTCTTCACGTTCTGCAGATGTAGATGCCACTGGTTCTTCACGTTCTGCAGACGTAGATGCCACTGGTTCTTCAGCGTCTGCAGATGTAGATGCCACTGGTTCTTCACGTTCTGCAGGTGTAGATGCCACTGGTTCTTCACGTTCTGCAGATGTAGATGCCACTGGTTCTTCACGTTCTGCAGATGTAGATGCCACTGGTTCTTCATGTTCTGCAGATGTAGATGCCACTGGTTCTTCACGTTCTGCAGATGTAGATGCCACTGGTTCTTCATGTTTTGCAGATGTAGATGCCGCCGGTTCTTCACATTCTACAGATGTAGATGCCACTGGTTCTTCACGTTCTGCAGATGTAGATGCCACTGGTTCTTCACGTTCTGCAGATGTCGATGCCACTGGTTCTTCAGCGTCTGCAGATGTAGATGCCACTGGTTCTTCATGTTCTGCAGATGTAGATGCCGCCGGTTCTTCACATTCTACAGATGTAGATGCCACTGGTTCTTCACGTTCTGCAGATGTAGATGCCACTGGTTCTTCACGTTCTGCAGATGTCGATGCCACTGGTTCTTCAGCGTCTGCAGATGTAGATGCCACTGGTTCTTCACGTTCTGCAGGTGTAGATGACACTGGTTCTTCACGTTCTGCAGATTCCACTGGTTCTTCATGTTCTGTAGATGTAGATGCCACTGGTTCTTCACGTTCTATAGATGTAGATGCCACTGGTTCTTCATGTTCTGCAGATGTAGATTCCACTGGTTCTTCACGTTCTGCAGATGTAGATGCCACTGGTTCTTCACGTTCTGTAGATGTAGATGCCACCGGTTCTTCACGTTCTGCAGATGTAGATGCCACCGGTTCTTCACGTTCTGCAGATGTAGATGCCACCGGTTCTTCACGTTCTGCAGATGTAGATGCCACCGGTTCTTCACGTTCTGCAGATGTAGATGCCACTGGTTCTTCACGTTCTGCAGATGTAGATGCCACTGGTTCTTCACGTTCTGCAGATGTAGATGCCACTGGTTCTTCGCGTTCTGCAGATGTAGATGCCACTGGTTCTTCGCGTTCTGAAGATGTAGATGCCACTGGTTCTTCACGTTCTGCAGATGTAGATGCCACTGGTTCTTCACGTTCTGCAGATGTAGATGCCACTGGTTCTTCACGTTCTGCAGATGTAGATGCCACTGGTTCTTCACGTTCTGCAGATGTAGATGCCACTGGTTCTTCACGTTCTGCAGATGTAGATGCCACTGGTTCTTCACGTTCTGCAGATGTAGATGCCACTGGTTCTTCACGTTCTGCAGACGTAGATGCCACTGGTTCTTCAGCGTCTGCAGATGTAGATGCCACTGGTTCTTCACGTTCTGCAGGTGTAGATGACACTGGTTCTTCACGTTCTGCAGATGCCACTGGTTCTTCATGTTCTGTAGATGTAGATGCCACTGGTTCTTCACGTTCTATAGATGTAGATGCCACTGGTTCTTCATGTTCTGCAGATGTAGATTCCACTGGTTCTTCACGTTCTGCAGATGTAGATGCCACTGGATCTTCATGTTCTGCAGATGTAGATGCCGCCGGTTCTTCACGTTCTACAGATGTAGATGCCACTGGTTCTTCACGTTCTGCAGATGTAGATGCCAGTGGTTCTTCACGTTCTGCAGATGTAGATGCCACTGGTTCTTCACGTTCTGTAGATGTCATTGGTTCTTCACGTGTGTGGGTGTCTGGGTATGTGGGTGTCTGGGTGTGTGGGTGTGTGGGTGAGTGTCTGGGTGGGTGTGTGGGTGGGTGTCTGGGTGTCTGGTGTCTGGGTGTGT